TTAAGTATAATTCATCTTTATACCTTAATTAAATAATTATTCAGATAAATATTATCAATAATACAGCAAATAATACAATATGGCAATGTAAATAAAATTTAATTTTCTACTTACAGTTCACAACATTTGTGATATTACATTACATTTATTGCTTATTCTATAAGGATTCTTTACCTACTCCTTATGCAAAGTTTTATACATTTCAGTACTAAAGTTATTGATAGTACCATACTTAATAATCGATGAAATAATATGACAATCCAATTTATAAAATTTTGCTAATTGTAAATTTGATAGTGAATATTGAGATAATAGATTTAACTATTCTATAATGAGTGACTGTAGAATATAAATAGATTAAAAAACAATTTTACATAAACAACTTATATATGATGAATTTACATACTTTAAAAGTTATTAAATCTGACTTCATAAATTCATCTTTATATGAAAAAATGTACATTTTATTCTAATTAACATATAATTGCACTAACTTTTTGTCCATATTCTTAGCCTGATTTACGGTGTAATCAGATTTATGTAATGTTTTAATAATACCATAAACACAAGCTGACATATTATTGCACAAAATTTATTTGCAGTAAAATGCTTAATATTACATAACCTATTTTTGAATAGTTTGAGACCTGAAAAGCACAGAATCTTTTTTAATTATCAAATTCAATTACGCCGTCTGATTCATACCATTCTTTTAATAATTTTTGTGTATATTTAACTTAATATTTATATAAATTTAAGTTCAAATGGTACATCCTGTTCAGCAGACATACTTGATATACATTAAATTGCCTAAATAATTAAGTAAACTAATAAGTAAAATGCATAGTAATGAAATTACAACATTAAGAAGTTTATCATAAAATACTTACAGAAAATTCCAGAATGGATTCTCAATATTATGCAATGAATACTTTTTAAAAATTCTATTTTCTATCATACTTTGTATCATTTCAGATATTCATATTTGATATTCTAAAAATAGGTTGTTGAATTCCTCTCTTGATGATATGTATATATAATATAGCATTTTGCAATTAGCCAAGTTATATATATATAAGGACCTGTACAGCAAAATCTGGGGTTATATCAATTACGTGATTTTGAGAAAATTAAGGTTTAAGTTAACCAATTAATTTTGATGATCATTGCAAAAAAAAACAATTTTTTCAAAAACAGCCTTTATAATATAGAACGAAATTTTGCACATATGTAATTGAAAACATAAACTTCCATTTTCTTCTTTTACATACATTTTTTTTTATTTAGCAATAAAATGTGTATATTACATATTTTTAATAAAGTTAATAACTATTTCGTAAAAAAATGAACATCCTGAAAATTTTATTTTTTTGAGATTTCAATGTTTGAAAGTATTAAAAAAATAATAATAACAAAATGACAATATTAGTAACAGTAAGTAAGCAAAAAAATAGTCTTATTTTATTTGATTTCATTGTAGAATTTTGAATTAATTACAACAATTTAATTTAATTTATTTCACGTTTCTTTTGACTTAAAACAGACAATATTACGAAAGGGTAAATCAACATAAGGTGCAATTTCTTTATACAATTCCTCTTGTTTCTTTAAAGAAAATGATCTAATGCCAATTATAGAAGATAGAATATCAGAATCAAAAAGAAAGTTGCAAATTGTAGCTTTTTTATAATCATCTTTAAGTTTATCTTTATAGAAAACTAACTATCCTAGAATATTATGAAGTTAAATAAAAGTAATGTTATTTTTGAATATTAGATAATTTTTTGTGCCTTTGAAAGTAATCTTTAAAATTATAATATTAAAAATCTTCTCCATTCAAATAAAGCTGAGAAGTATTAAGATTGATTGTAGTAGAACGATTAATAATAGAAATTATGTCATCTATAGTATTTACTTTACTTTTCGATAAAGAATTTTGATTAGGCTAAAACAGCTATCACAAATAAATTTGGCATAGCCAGGTATCATAAAATTTAACTCAATTTCTTCATATAATCCACGATCAATTAACCATGAATAAAAAAATAAAAAATAATTATTTTTGTTTTGACTAATACAATTATCACATGCGATAATCAATTTTTTTTTCTTACAATTATATTTTAAAATTGCATGCCAAACTAAACTTAATGTACAATTTACCCCTTTTTCCTGTTTGTTATTATCAGGCATTTCAGTTTCATCAATTATATAATTAATCTGTTCTGTATGTAGAAAGTTTCCAATATTACAAACTTCAAATAAATGTATTTTTTGAGGACTTTTAAAGAATATGGATCCTAATTGTTGAGGTTAATAAGAAACTTATACATTTTGGATCCAATTATATATAATATGAGCACTACCTTCAAAAGATTTAAATGATATTTAAAATCCAGTTGTATTTGGATTACATTTGCTATCTTCAACTGCATATTTAATGTTAATATTATAGCAATCATGTTCTTATTTTGCATGATTCAAGTAAGCCAAATATTTTTTTATAATTACCATTTTTTTTTATGTTTTATAACATACTGAATATCTAATTTTATTAATTCACAGGTTTCACATAAATTGAAGACATAAACTGAAGCGATGGTATTAGAGTTTTTCAAGTTTTACGAAAAGTTGATTTAGCTATAACATGTGTTTCTTCTTCATATTCATTTTTATAAGTTTGAAAACTTTGAATATAATCACAATATACTGATGCATAGCTATAACTTGTTGGAAGAAATACAATCAGCATGGATATTTTATTAAAATTCTATCTAGGTAAAGGTAAACCATATATATCAGCATAATTCTTTAAAAAATTATAAATTTTTATTTTAATGTGATTTATATTTTTTGAAACACCAGTATTACCATGTATATGTTTTTCAAAGACTATATTTTCAGAAATGTTTTATTAAATTATCTAAATGTGTATAACCAACCCTAGTAAGATTCTCATATGTGGTATGATAAATTGGAAGACTATTATTAAAACAATATTTAAAATGTGAAGTTTTTCTATTATTATTGATATTTTGAAAAGCTATAAGCTATCCTTTAATAATTATATCCTACATATTTTTATCTAAACTTTCAAATTCTAACTGATATGCAAGAAACTATTTAGGCCGGACAAAGAAAATTTTTAGATTCTCGTGACATAAAATTTTGAAAATGACCCGGCCGGCCGGCTTATTTTTTTATATATGTAAAAATTTTTTCATATGTAAAATTTTTTTATGCACGTTGGTTTTTGTAACACCTTTTTTATCTCATACTTAAAATCACGTGAAAAAAATTTTTTACTATAAAAAATTTTTTTCCATTTTTTCAAAAAACTGACACGGCCGGGTCACGAGAATCTAAAAATTTTTTTTGCCTGGCCTTATAACCAATTTTCTCAAAACATTTAAAAGTACATGAGTATTTTTCATTATTAAAAAACTTTTTTACTTTTAATTTCAATTTATCATAAACTTTATCTTCAATATAATTATTATAATTTTCTGTAAATTTGAAATTATTTAAATGCATTTCTTTAAAATTTTCTTCAAGATTTTCAATATTATTATTAGAGTTATTAGAAGCAATTTCAATTCCTCCATCTGGTGTACTTTTTTCATTATCAGGATTTGAATTTTTAATAAAAAACATATTTTCAGTTCTATTAAAATAGCTAATATATTTTCATTTGCATTATTATTATTAAAATAAATGCCATACTCTATATTATTTAATAAGAATAATAAGCGAAAATTGTGAAAGTTTTTAAAGTAAAAGGTAATAATAAAAAGTTAATTTTACATCCTTTTTACTATTTTATTATACTTCAAAAACCTTATTTTTTAAAAGACTAGATCTTTGGGCATATGACCATCACAAAATCTTAAAATCAAGTGATTGGTCCTAACTTCAGGTTTTGCTGTGCGGGTCTTCACATGCTGAGATTTTTTTACCTCGTAAAAATCAACATTCAAGATATTTTCATTATTAATATCATTAATGTCTAATGGATTTTTATTATATATTAGTTCATCAGTTAGAATAAGTGAAACAATAATGGCTGAATTTATTGCAGTATTAGAAACTTCTTCACGAATTAGTTCATTTTCTTCTAGATACATTTAATCACAATGCATCTTAAGATGATTTTGAAAGGTATCACATCTGCTGAATATTCATAGGCAATACTCATATTAAATATCAAACATTTTTGTTAAAATTTTTTAAATTATTAGAAGGAGAAAGAGATTTAAAATTATATTTTGATAATTAGTTATTATAATTGTTATAACTTAAGATAATATTATTGAGTTTTGCTAATATAACCCTATAAGAAAACTGTATATAGAATTAATATGTTTTTATATTCAAAAAAAATGTATAATATATTCTGAAAATCTATATTATATGATCATAATTATTATGTATAAAAAAAACAATTCAGTATAAAAATTAAGAAAAAAGACAGAATTACAAATCCTTAATACATAAATTATGAATATTATATATGTTTTTGTTATTTTTTATATGTTAATTCTATATTATATATATATTAATTTCATATTTTATATACTTTTAATAAATTAAATNTTGGGCAAAATTATAATACTAATTTAAGCTAAATTTATTAATTTTATTTTATATTAATGTCAGTAAATTTATGAAATTAATTCAGATTAAAATTTTATATTTAAACATATTGCAAATTGTAATTTTATTATTATTAATTAATAAAAAAAAATGAATTATATTATGCATGCAAAAGAAAATTATATTATTATACTTTATAATCAATTTTTTTATTCTGATTTCTTATTTTTCTTACTTCAAATTCTGTTTTTTTTAAATAATTTTTTTTTAATATTTTTATTATAAATAATATAAATAAGAATTTTGTAATTTATTGATCGGTCAATGCATCGACCCCCTTTACATGACCAATACGTAACCTAAAAATATATAAATAAAACCTTTATTTAATAATAATTATAAAAATTGCTCAGTTAGTTCAATTGGTAGAATGCTAGATAATATACTTTTTATCACAGAAATGCAGATTCAAATTCTGCACTGGGCCTTTTATTTTTTTGTATTATTTCAGAGTTTCATTTGATGGCTAAATCATAAAAACCACACATTACAAAAAAACCTCACATGTCTAAATAATTTGCATGTACTGATGTACATTTACAAATAATTTAACAATAAAATTTGCATATATAAATGTATATTTATGAACAATTAGCAATAAAGAAGGCAAACTTTATTCATTAAAGGACTAAGCATTGCAATTTTTTTGATAATGTTCTAAATTACCACATTTCTTACAACGTCTTTGTTGCTTTGTTTTTTTATCCTGATTCTTTTCATTTAATGCTTTATATCTTCTTGTACCTGCTGATCTTACTTTATCATGTTTTATTTTTGGATTTTGCAGCTGAAACACATTTGCGTTCTCTTTATTACTTTTATGAACCTCATTTGATTCTTCACTTTCAGATTCAGATTCACTATTATCATTTGCGAAATTTTTTAGGATTCTAATTAGGTGTAATAATTTCAAATTTGACTGTAAAGCTTTTCGCAAAGCTCTTTTATATATACTATGAAGGGTACCATACATCAACTTTTTATCAAGAAGATTCATACACCAATTGAGAGAATCTTCTTTTTCTTTATCGATGGCACATAAATGACCCATACCAATTTCTTGTATCACATTTATAGATATGCTATCGTAAAACTTATCAGCAATAATAAATTATTCATGTGATGTGTTCTTACCTTCTTAATACCACCTGAATGGAATGAGCTGAATATAGAATTTGGCTTCGCAAGTATTTAGCATAACCTAAAAGTAATGTTAAGATTATTCTTTCTGAATGGCTAGCTATAAAATAAGAGTATATATGCACATTATCTGAAAGTAATATCTGCAGATTATTTCTTTCCAAATGGCCATAAGACAAGAGTATATATGCATATTATTTTTCAAAAGAACTATATAATGCTTTATTTTTGACAAATTTTTAATATCAATGTTCCATATTTCCTTAATATTATCACATCCATTAACTTCTATTAACTGGTCTATGATAGCTTGTATTCTTCTTCATAAAAATCATCATTAGTTGTGGTAATATCCTGTTGGTTAACCAACCTTGCAGTATATTAGAGCGATTGATTAATTTCTTTCCATTGTAACTTCAAAATCGTCAGTGTTAAAAACTTTTCACAGTATTTATCTACTTCAGTAAACAGGAAGTTAGATTATTCTAGGTTCTTAACAGATGGAATTGCAAGTCTCTATTGTTGATATCTGTTGTTCTTGTTATATTCATTAAGTAATTTATGAATTTCTGTCATTAGTTCATATAATGAAATATTGGAATTGAATAGCATTCTCTTGATACATGCGTTTACTGATTCAACACGTGAAGATGCAATCATCCTGCTGGTGAATTTGAAGCTTGTATATGAATGTGTCTAATACTCTTTAGAAAAGTATAGTCCTTCTAGATAAGATTGGCTTTGTGAGTAGTCTTCAATTAGTTTCGCAAAATAATCATAAAATGTTACCTGGATAAGACTATTCCTACACAAATAAAAGTCTGAAGAAAATTTTGATATTAATCTCCAAGAGGCTTCCAAAGATTTTGTGAAGATTTTGTATTATATGAAAAGTATAGTGAATCAGGTATGTGTTTGTAAATACTTCCTTAAATGCTGCATCAACAGCTGAGTCTGAATCTATTATAATTACAGTTAGATAAATGCTAGTAGTCTCAATAATCTGTCTAAATAACCAAAAATGAGACTCTTTACTTTTATTTATAAGTAGATCCTATGCAAAAAGTATATTTTGCATGTTGTGATCAAATTCTACAAAAAAAGTCAACACCATTCCATATCGATTCATTTTATGTGTAATATTATTGATAACGCAATTGCTGAATCGAATCTAATATTCTACCTGCTTCAGCATCATCTACATTAAGTGAGTTAAAGTATTGTCATCATTTCATTCTCTTGATATGATCTATCTAGAATTGCTTTCTTTTTGTCTATTAAGCCAGTTGAACATTTTTGCAGTATTGTTTAGAAGAGATTTTGCCATAGGTCTAAATCTTTTTATTATTGCATATATGTCTTTACTGTAAAAAATATGGGAGGAATATTTTCCTTCCAAGTACTTCCTCTGCACTGTAGCCCCTATCTTGCAATATTGTATTAAAAATTGGATATTTTCTATCATTTCATCACTAAGCTTTTTCTCTTTTCTAAATGCTATAGCTTCAATATTCAGATCATGATTATGCTCAACCATAATTTTATTAATAAATATTGTAGAATCTGGATTATTCACCTTGAAACAAGAGGTATTAACACATCATGGATATGACATCTTTTTGATGCTAGTTTTTTTTGTAGATTTTGATGTATAGCTTCTTCCATATTCGCATATATATAACCTTCATCTAATATTATTTTCTTCCTTGATAATTTTATCTATCTTTTATCATACTAAAACCTTTACTTTTACCCTAATTACTAATGAATTAGTCACATAACATCCAGCTTGCAAGTACCTTTCCTGTATAAAGCCTTGCAAAGTCATTTTCAATATTTTAGAATTCATGTTTTTAGCAAAGCAAAAAAGGAGAAAATATTTAAAGTAAAATACTACAATAGTAAAATAGTGCAAAGAAAAGAAAATAATGTAAGAAAAGGATGGTAAATGTAAGGAAAAAGATCAATCATACAAAGAAAAGTGAAGAGGTAAATATTGCTATTAGAAAACTTTGAAAATGAATAGGCGTGAGAGCATCTTTATAAAATGCGTAAAAACTGTGGAATTTTACGCTGATTATTATTAAAAATCGCATACATGTAATATATGTAATATTTTCTTCATATGTTTTGCCTGTTTTACGTGATCACATCTGATTGTCCAATTTTAGCATGATATAAGTGTGTTTTATCTAAACGTACTAAACAAAAACTTTGAAATAATGCAAAAAAAATAAAAGGTCCAGTGCAGAATTCGAACTTGCATTTCTGTGATAAAAAATATATTATCTAACATTCTACCAATTGAACTAACTAAGCAATTTTTATAATTATTATTAAATAAAGGTTTTATTTATATATTTTCTTGGTCACGTGAAGGGGGTCGATGTATCAACTGATCAATAAATTACTTTCTATAAATAATTATATTAAATAATTTAATCAAATACTTACTATTAGCTTTTTCATCAAAGTAGATTTTACTATTTCTTGTCTTTTTTAAGGTCAATTTTTTTCTAATATTAAAATTATCGATATTAATAATTGGATTTTGTAATTTATTGCCATGGAAATGTATCGCCAGTATCACGTAATTTATAATTCCAGCTGGAATTAAATGATTTGCAATGAAATTGCCTTTTTGAAAATTTTGCATAACCCAAAATTTCAATTTTTAAGAGAAATAAAACTGTCTTTTTTGGATTGTATAATGTTATTTAAGATCCAAATAAGGAAATTTTGGCTAGTATTATAAAATTTAGACAAAATTAAACATATAATAAATAACATGTAACAAATAGTATTTATCATACCAAAAAGTCATGTGATATAATAGATTATGTAACATAGTGACAATTGGCGATAAATTACTTTTTTCTTAGGGTTTTTAAAAATTTTTTAAAAACTTGAATTTCAAAAGTTATTATTTTTGTTTAATTTTTAATTTTAGTTTTTTAATTTTTTATCTTTTTTTTTTTTTACTTTATTAGATAAATATTATTAAAAAAATTACTTTTATAAAAAAAATAAAATATAAAATATTTAAATTTTATTTTTAAATAATTAAAATAATTAAAAATAGCTTTATCTTATTATTTAGTTTATATTTTTTGTCATAATTAATTTTACATATTAATAATAAATTGACAAATTCTAATAAATTAACATAATTGCTGCAATTACTTTACTGAATTAACATAATTAATTAGCAAAAAGTATATAACTTAACTAATATTTCTAAAATTTAGTATTAATAACTTGCTTTAAAAATTCTTTTCAATATCATATTAATTAAAAAATTTTATTGTATTAAGAGAAGATGAAAATAGATTGAAACATTAATTAGTATATATCTTTAAAAGTAATAATTATAAAACTTAAATAGAATCTTTATAAAAAATGTAATCTAATAGTAGAAATAAAAGAAATAATTATATCTTTATAAGAAAACTTATTTCTAAAACTATTAGGCTAATTTGTAATAGATTATATTTGATAAAATGCTAATTTCATGTGATATAAAATGCTAGTAATATAATATATTAGTAAAAGATATAGAATTAGCTTTTTTAATATGTGTATATTGTAATTATACTTTCCTGTGAAATAGATTTTTTTGAATTATGACCAACATAATACAAAGACATAATTTGATGTAATTCATATATTTTATTAGTAAAAATTATGACCGTCATAATTGATTTTGCCCATGACAAAATATTTTGACAATGGCTTTTTAATTTTGCTGGAAAGTATAATTGTAATATAAGAAATAAGAGCATTTTGTTACTTATGTTATAATCTTCACTTTTAATAAAGTACTTCTCAAGCATTAATCTGTTTTGGAAAAAAAATAAAATAAATAGAAGGAAAAGAAATTATGCAAATCTTTCCTTTTTAGATCAAAGTTTTTGTTTCTTAAATACTGACTGGAATTACAGTATATAATTTCAGCTCTAAAAAAATGCATACAGTTAATAGTAAATTTTTTTGATTGTCCATATATAGTTTGGAGCTATTTTTTTTCTTTTTAATGCTCTATTTACAACTTCATTGGAATATATATCTATTAATTGGAACCGGAATTATTAAATGTATCATTATTTATATGAAAAATCTACATCTCTTAGATAAAGGTATTAAATACATTTCACTATATGGATCATACTATCATAATATTAAAATGTAAATAAAAGGAACCGATATATTTTATTAGTATGAGAAAATATCCATTCAATTGTATTCAATGTAAGAGGAATAATTAAAGCTAACCAGAATTGATTTGAT